GTGCTGTGGATATGGTATCAACAAAAGACAGATACATCTATTATGATGAGCTAGGTTCTGCTGCAGTAACAACCAACCCTCCAAATCTCAGTGGGTTAAGACCAAAGTGGTTTATTTCTCCCTTGTGCTACATTTTCATATGGGTGATCTGAGAGCTCTGTCCCACTCTGTCCTCGTTCCAACACCCAGGAAGATGATGCACCACTGTCTAGAGTCTAGATTTTTGCTAGCCTGGTGGCAGAAGAAAAGAGAGAGATTAGTGAACGGAATAAAAGGTACAAACCTACCATGTACCAGAAGGGATAGAACCAGAAGTATCTGGTGACCAGCAATAATGACTACCACAGCAAAGTCCCCACCCTTATGGGAGCTTACATTCTAGTAAGAGGAATCAGGTTGGAAAGGATGGGGAGTTGCCGACTTAGATAGAATGATGGGTTTAAGGACATACTTAGTGTAAAATACAGTGTGGTTGGGGCATCTGACCTCCTCTAACTTCACAAGGTTGGGAGGAGAATCAAGATCAACAGCTCAAGGCTGATTCCTATGAGGCGGAGGTCAGATACACCTCCTCTCTCCAAACTTTTTACCAACTCTGACACCAACCATCCCTCCCATAGCACTTTCTGCTTCTCTGCTGTGTTCAGTAATTCATCGCAGTGACCACACAGAACTCACAGAAAATACTCACGATTATAGGATTTATTAGGGAAGTAACAGGTTACAATTCAGGATCAGGAACAACTCAGGATACAGTTCTTCCATAAAGACAGCTTCTTCTCAGCCGAGCCCGCAGGCAGGCCTATCTCTGGCCCTTGGCCTCTTGACCTCTCAGCTTCTTGGCCTTTTGCTTCTCGGCCTAGCCTCTGCCCTACTCAGTCAAGTCTTACAAACTTCGTTAGCTCCACCAATAAATGCCCAGAGGCGTCCCATTCTGCAAGTAAGCCTCCTGTCCAAAGGTGCTCAGCTCTCTCACTCTGTGCCTCAGCACACCCACTGTAGCTGCCTCAGTACATGGGCCGGGAAGCCCACCGTGCTATCTCACACCGATCTCCTGGTTTTGCTGCCACTGTTTGTTTGCCACTGCTTCTCTCCATCTCATGCTGTCTCTGGTGTTACAGCTGTCTGTCTCCTGAGTCTAGGAGGTTCACAGCTCAGGGACCTCAGGTCCAAAGGACATGCTCCACTCCTGGCTCTTCTTTCTTGGTGGTGGTGAGGTCCCCCTTCTGCTCTGGAATTGGCTGTCTTTTTAAGCCTAGCAGCATACCCAAACTGACCAATCCCCTTGTTAGGGTTCCATACACCTTATTTGCATGGTCCCACCCCCACAGGGCTCCATTCATCTTATTTGCATTGTTAGCATGCTGTCCAATCCCTTGGTGGGCCACAAGCACCATATCTGCATAGTCTCACCCAATCATTTTGTGGGTGTTACAAGACCACGGCAAGAAAGGCCATATAAAAGCGATTCGTCACACCACACTGAGGAAGTGACATTTAAATTAAAAACTAAAGGAAGAGAAGAAGCCAGCCACATGACAAACTCAGGTCAGATTTTCCAGGCAGAAGAAACATCAAAGGCCACAAGGTGAGAAAGGAACAGGAAGAGGCCGGTGTGCTTGGGGCTCGTGAGGAGAGGAGGCATGATCCAAGATGAGGGCAGAACCTAGTCACAGCACCTTGCTGACCATGATGAGGAGATGAGGTTTGAATCTATGTGTCCTGGAAGCTACTGAAGGCTTTAGGCAGGGCAGTGACATAATCTGACTTAAGGTTTTAAAAGATCACCCTACAGATTCAATATGTAGTTCAAAACAAATGACTATTTCTTGAGCACCTACCCTCCTTTGAGAAGTGCAAAACGAGACATGGTCCTACCCTCAGAACATTGGTTTCTGATCGCAGAGGCAGAGCATTTTAATGTTTTCTTAAACCTTTGTAATAAAATTACCATTTTAAAATAGATGATTGTGGTTGGGATAGTGTAACCGTTGTGTGCATGACTCTTCTGAAAATTACTAATCTGTACCCCTATTTATATATGAATTTAAACCCTGGGCAGAGTATAATAGGAAGCATTCGGTTATCTTGAATATAAGGCTCCACACTATACTTAACCTCTGATTACCATGTGCCCTGTGGGGAAATTCCCCTTAGGATCTTTTTAGTAACAAGCAACATTTTCTCAACTAGTCTTGAGCATTTTTCTTAAACTCAATGCTGGCCATGAAATTCACATCCCACAGGCATTTCTCAGCCTTTTATTGAAAACTAGCCGTTGAAATGTAAATCAGCTCCAATCCTTGGGTAAATCTCTTCCAGTGATGAAAGTCAAGATTTTTTACTTGCTCAAGTTGAAGCATCAATTTACATATTTGGAATTAAGATCAAAATTAGGCCGTTTTGATTAACACTGGGCGGAATGCAGATGGAGTTGTAGCTTGAAAAGAGAGATGTTTTACATGCCTTAAACGCTCAGTAGATGAGCTAAAATTGCTCGGTTTATTCAGATGTACAATGTGTTGGATGACATGCAGCTAATGAGACTCAGCAGTTGATATAAAATATGGATATTGCTGTTTCTCTTTCTTGCTTTACATCCACTCCTTCAAACTTATCTTAGAGGCACCTCCTTCACTGTCCTTTAAAAACTGTGGCCCACATCGCTGCAGATCTTGTTCATACCTGCAGTATAAGTGACTCCTGAAAAAGCTAATTAGGAAAAAGGCAACAAGCAGAAACCAAATGGAGTGTGATCCTCTTAAGCCATGCTTCTCATATTTTAATGTGTATTTAAATTATCGAGGCACTTTTAAAAATGTATATTCTAATTCAGTAGGTCTAGGGTGATATACTGTATAACAAATTACCCCAAACCTTAGTGACTTAAAGCAACAAACATTGTCTTACACTTTCTGTGGGTCAGGAATTCTGGAGCAGTTTAACAGGGTGGTTCTGGCTCAGGATCTCTCAGGAGGTTGCAAACAAGGCAAAGTCTGAGGTAGAGTCATCTAAAGACTTAACCAGTGCCAGACAATCTGTTTCCAAGATGGCTCACTCTCGTGGTCTTTGGTGAGAGGCCTCAGTTCTTTGCTGGAAGTTGGCAAGAGGCTTCTCTTCCTTGCTCTGTGGGCCTGCCCATAAGCTTGCTTGAGTGCCCTCACTACATGTCAGCCGGCTTCCCCCACAGTGAGCTGAAAGAAAGAACAAGTAAGAAACTGCAATGCCTTTATGACCCAGTCTCTGAAGTCACACATATCTTCACTTCTGCAATATTCTGTTTTTTAGAAGCAAGTTACTAAGTCTTGCCACACTCAAGGTGGGGGAGGGGGAGATTAGACTTCACTTTTTGAAGGGCAAAGTGTCAAAGAATTTGTGGACATATTTTAAAACCACCCAGGTGGCACCTGCTCCCAGATGAAGCAGGTGCTGGTCCTTGGACCATACTTTGAGTAGAAGGCACTAATAGGACCAGCCAGTGAGATTTCATTCTCACGATGCTTCATTTCTGGTATTAAACCTACCGTCTGAATAGGTCACCCCCAGATAACTATCTAAAATATTCTTCTTCTTTTTTAATCTTATTAAATGTCAGCTGTATTGACACAAATAAATAGTCCCCAGAAAAACTAAATTTTGCAGTGTCTGCACTCTTCAGTCCATGCAATTCACATTAAAAAGCCAGTAAGGTGTATTTTGAGCAAACATCAAGGTTAGCAGATGCTCCTCAGCTTGGGGAATAAAAACTGGAAACAGCCTTTTCAATTTTCGTCATGAACTTCAGTGACTCTCTCCCTCTCCAACACATAGATCTTGCCTCAACCCACTGAAACTCTAACTCGAATCTCTACACCTGCATACAGCATGCTGTCTCCCCAGAGAGTTCCTGTTCTTTGAGCTGCTTTTAGCCTCTCATTCAATTTGATGATTTCTTCTATTTTAGATATAGTAGGTTTAATTCTCCTGAGGTTTCTAATTTTTAACATATTAGTCATTATTTTTCCTAGCATCATCCCTTGTCAAATCTGGTGATGATAATTCCATATGCTAT